GAGTTGTACCATTTAAAAAGAAGAAACCATGGCCAGCCCATTCTTGACAAGGTCCAGAGATTGTTGGGTCGATGAATGGAGCTGCCTGGCAGGAAGGGAAGGTTCTGCATCAGAGAAGCGACCACCTGCAGAGGGAGAACCCGAGCTCCTGGCCTGGTTTGCCAAAACACAGGGACTTTGAGGGGACAGTGTAGAGCTGAGGTGAAGTGTAAAGGCAGCAAACTGCTTCATGTTCTGCCTGGGTTTTATATCAGTCTCCCAGCAGATTGGAAGAGTAAGTTAAGCTACTGAATCCTGTTTTCAAGCATTTCCATCAATGCATTCTTTTTTGTTTAGTCATTTTCAGTCATGTCTGACTCTTTGAGACCCCTTTTGGGGTTTTCTTGGCAAAGATACTGAACTGGTTTGCCATTTCCTTCTCCAGCTCATTTTATAGGTGAGGAAACTGAGGCAAACAGAGTTAAGTGACTTGCCCAGGGTCAGACAGCTAGCAAGTGTCTGAGACTGGATCTGAACTCAAGTCTTCCCGACCCCAGGCCCAGTGCTCTATCCACTGTACCACCTTGCTGCCCCAATGTATTCTGGGAGTGCCCTATTTTTAGCATTTTTCTTCTGTATAGGAAATAAATACCTGTCCCATTCATATTCACATCCGGGTGGTACCACAGTCCACAGAGCATGGAGCCTGGAGTCAGGAAGATCTGAGTTCAAATTTGACCTCAGATACTTACTAGCTTTGGGACCCTGAGCAAGTCACATGACCTTGTTTGCCTCAGTTTCCTTATCTGTCAGGTGATGATAATAATAGTACCTACCTCCCAGGGTTGTTGTGGGGATCAAATGAAATCGTGTTTGTAAAGCGCTCTGCAGACCTTAAAACACTTTATAAATGCATGCTGTTACTATCAAGAACCCTGTAATTTCCTCTTTGGAAAGATCTGGACATGAGTCACAATCTAAGCTTCAAAGCACTTGTCCCCAGAGGATGGGGTGGATTAATGCACTAGAGCCTGAGCCACCTGCATGGGCCCAGAGCAGAAAGGGAGTGGGGGCCGTGACCCGGCCTCCTGGGCCATGTTAGGCCTCCAGCCGCCATCTTTGCCAGTCTGCAGAGCAGGAAGCGAAGCCTCAGCCTTGCTCGTGCATTTCTCCACATTCCGGCCTTTTGGAGAGTGCATCTCTGCTGGAAATGGCTCCTACAGCCGTGCAGCCGGGACTCTTTGAGCGCCACAGTCTGCAGGTGACCCACAGGATGACGGGAGAGCTGGCGAGAGCAGTCTGCCCCCCAGAAGGGACATCACCGAGGAACAGAAGGCTCAGGGCTGGGAGGGCCTGGCAATGAGGTCATGTGGGCGACCACTCTCCTTTGGTGGGTGAAGAACTTGGCCCAAAGCCCCACACTCTGCTGGCAGAGCCAGCATGCTTCGCCTGGACTTCAGCACGTCCCAGTGAGACAGGCTGGTGGGTGGCAAGATAGGTGCAGACAACCAGCCTGTCCACCAGTCTCTATGGAATGGAACTGACCCCAGAGGGAGGACCCAGAACTCTGGGGAGAGTCCAGAGGCTCTGGAGGAGAACTTGACCTGGAATCCCAGGGAGGGGGAGGGGTCACCAACTATAGCAGGGAAGAGTCTGCGCCCACATGGAAGAGACAATGGGTACACCTTTGAGAGCTACAGAAACTAGAGTAAGATGCTTCTTCTTACCTTAGTCAGCCATGTGAGATCACTCAGTTATGTTGGGAGATCTCTGGAAGTCTGCCACACAGTAGCGAGAGGAGGAGGCTAGAGATGAGAGGTAAACAGAAGAGGCCAGAGGTGAGAAGTGAGGAGTCCAGAGACGGAAAGAGGAGGCCAGAGAAGGAGGCCAGATGAAGAGGCCAGAAGTGAGAGGTGAGGAGGCCAGAGAAAGAGGCCAGAGGCTGGAAGAGGAGACCAAAGGGGAAAGGGGGCAATCAGAGGTCAGAGGCAGAGGACATCAGAAGAGACCAGAAGCCAGAGGGGACCCTAGGAAACAGGCCAGAAAAGGGCGGTGAGTAGAACTGAGGCCCATGGAGGAGAGAAGAGGCCAGAGGATGCCAGTGGAGTCAGAGCTGAGGAGTAGAAGCAGCAGGAAGGGGCTGAGGCTTGAGGAGACTGGACAAGGTGGCCAGACTCCAAAGAACAGAGCTCAGAGGCCAGAGCAGACCAGGAGAGTCTGGGAGCTGTGACTCAGAGGGAGGCAGGCAGGCCCACTGGGGGCGGCTTGGGATCTCAGCCAGCCCCACTGGGTTTCCCAAAGACCATGCACTGGGGGGCTCCCTCTGGTCTAGTTTCAGGCCCAGCTCCTTCTGTGTGTGAGTATCTGGGGTGGGGGGCGTCCTCTGGGGTTGGCTCTTTCCAGGTCAGGTCTGCTTTGGACTGACCACAAACGTCTAGCATCCTCTGACAAGGGGCCTTCTGTGGCCATAACGATGTTTCCTGTTTGGAGGTTATCCAGAAAGTGACCCCACCCCCCAGTCTAGCTCCCCGGGGTGGGGGGCAAGGATCAGCCATTACTCCCTGGCTGTCTATTGCCCGGTCCCAGAGCCCCTAGCCCCTAGTACTCTCGACCTCCTTGGCTCTATGCCCCTAGCCTGGCTCTCCCCACTAGGGTTCTGGGCCATCGGCCTCCTCTGCCGCATCCTCCCGGGCACCACCAGTCGTTGGGGGGGGGGGATGTCTGTTAATGATTAGGGCTGCAGCAGGGTGCCCTTCAGATGGGGGGGGGAAGGCAGAGGCAGACCGCCCTGATGGCTTCCCCCTCCTTGCCCAGAGGGGGGTAGGAAGAGAGAGAGAGCGAACAAAAGGCAGGCTGGGTGCTGCTGGAGGGGGGCAGGGCCAGGCCCGGACCGGGGAGGCGGGGAGGGGGGCAGAGCCAGGGGAGAGGGGGGCCTCTAGGCCCCAGCAGGGAGGGAAGGGAGGGGGAGGGGGAGCCTCCAGACCTCGGCGGGCTGGGGGGGGGGGAGGGCGGAGGGGCGGGACAGGCTGAGCCTATAAAGGACCGCAGTCACCCCGGCTCCGGGCCCGCCCCGCAGGCCCCTGGCGCCCGCCCCGGGATGGCCCCAGCCCCGGCCCACAGCCGCCGCCTGCCCTGGCTCCCCGGAGCTCTCCTGCTGCTGCTCGTGCTGCTGCTCGCGTCCCTGAACCGGGTTCTGGCTCGGCCGGCCCCGCTACAGCCCGTGAGTCTCAGGCCGGCCCCATTCCGCCCCCGCAGCCCCCACTCGGCCGTGCCACCAGATCCCCGGGAGGGACAGAGGCTAGGGGTGAGATGGAAGGGCTCCTTCCTGCGGCGCATCAGTTTGGGGGTGGGCACCCAGATCCCGCAGCCTTGGCCCGGCCCCCCGCGGGGCCCCCAGGCGCTGCGCCCCGGCTTACTGCACTATGCCCTTGTGGGTGTCCTCCCTGCCTAGGTCTAGCCCAACCCCCTGCTCCTCCCCTTCCCCCTCCTCCTCCTTTTCCCTCTCCCCCTCCTCCCCCTGCCCCTTTTCAGTCCTCCCCCTCCCGCAGCCTTTCACTTCCCTCT